CCGGTTACATGAGACTAATTCGTTTTATCTACGTCAAACGGATCTTGTTTGGCTCACCCGGGCTGACTCCTCGACGGCCGGTAATGCGCATCACAAACGGAATAGGATTAGCGTACAGTCATGGCGCAGTTGCGGCATTTACCGAGACGACTGAACTAAATTTTAGATACTTTTATCATTTGATAGGCTCAAAAACATTTAAAATTAACATGAAATCAAAAAATGAAAACAAATTTTTCTTGTTTTAAGTCAGTGGGCACTGATTCGCCATGCAGCGACAGCAGGGTGGTCAGAAAAAAAATTATCTATCAAAATATTTCATTCATTTTATTTCACATGCAAAGACTAAACCAAAATACCAACATTTTTTTGCTATTTTCTACGAGGCAGCCAATAAAAAAATGCTTATTATTTTGCATTTTGACGCTTCCAGTCAGCAAAGAATAGTTCTTGTGAAATACGGGCCGAATCGAATAACTCGGTTACATGAGCGATCCGTTCCAAATACGCACTACGCTAATACGCATCAGCTCCCCACAAACGTATCTACGGCACCAGTTACATGAGCAAATTCGTATCAGTGACGTCAAACGGGTCTAGTTTGGCTCTCGGCCCGATGCGCATTACAAACGGAATAGCATACAAATGTGGCGCACTTCCGTAGCAATAGAGGTGACTGAATTAAAAATTTAATATCTCATGTCTTTTTTGCATTAAATCTGCTCAGAACATCCTCAATTAACTTAACAAAAAAAAGTTGAACATAAAGTTGTCTTGCTTTGACTCATTGGGCACTTGCCTCTCTTGATTCGTCTGTAGTGCTGTCAGAAAAATGTTTCAACTGAAAGTACTTTGATATTTTCTTTTTGGTTTTCACTATATTTATTGACAAAATACCGACATATTTTTTTAATTATTATTTCAAAAGAAGCAAATGAAAAAAATACCTATTATTTTGCATTTTAATGTTTCTTTTTGGAAAGAAATAGTTCCTGTAATACGTATCTTGGTCCTATTCGCTTCTAAGCCTCTTTCTCAGCGGATTTTGTTTGGACCGCCGATTCGTATTAGCAGGTGGATACATGAGTCGGTAGTACGCTCCTGATTCGCATTAGCGGTGAATCCGATCGTGATACGTATTTGCTTTGCTCATGTAACCGCGGATCGGATCGCCGATTCGTACTAGCAGGTGGCTACATGAGTCGGTAATGCGTTCCTAATTCGAATTAGCGGCTAAATACGTATTTACTGTGCTCATGTAACCCCGATATATGGCACTTGGTCGATATGACATACGGTTTATTGGCTTGCGGCGCACATCAGCTGATACGCTGTAAATATAAATGCCGATTGATGGAGGGGAGCACAATAAAGAACGCCGGAGGTGAAGCGAACACACATACCAGTGCTCACTGCAGATACGAGTGCACACATACTCGTACCTATGTCTAGCAAGTACTGGATTGAATTTGGTCGCGTATGATGTCTAAAAGTGTTGTTCTATCTTACATGTAGTAATTTCTCAGTTCTCCAAACCGGAAATAAGGTAATATAAATAAAACAATAATATCTTGAAAAGTTCGTTCTATTTCAATGGGCGCATTTTTCCCTATCGAACTTACTCAGCTGAGACACAAAGTCAGTGACACTAAAACACATGTGTAAAGATTCTAAAATTCGTAAATTGAAGTTTGAGCGTTTTTGATCTATGATTTTGAAATCGTCTATACTGAAGGGGGTGTCACATGCCAAAGAATGATCCCGTACAGACGATGCTACTGGACTGGATAAGAGTTCGCCCGTTCTGTGTGACCTACCCTTGTGTTGACAAACTCTGCTGTGGAGCCTAACATAGGTAGAACCTATGTAAGATCCTTCACACGAAGGACAACTGAACTTATAAACTACAGCAGATCGACACATTTTAGGGATAGAGTTTTAGAGATAGAGATAGACACATTTTAGAGATAGAGCATCGTCTGTACGGGATCATTCTTTGGCATGTGACACCCCCTTCAGTATAGACGATTTCAAAATCATAGATCAAAAACGCTCAAACTTCAATTTACGAATTTTAGAATCTAAAACACATGTTAGTCGCTTTGCTTATTATCACGGTGGGGACCTCAGTCGGCTCACTAAAGTGGGCAGTGGACAGACGCATCGCACCACGACTATCTGAACATAAACTCCCAGCACTATCTCTGGCAGCACGACCTTTCAGTCGGCTCTCTGCTGTATACACAGCTGAACTGACCAGTGTCACCGATCACCGACACCAGGCGGAACGAGTATAAACACCGCCGGCCGGGTCAATGCCACGACTCTTCAGCGAGGTCAGCGTCTCAGAAACATCCAGTTGCCGGTTATAAACATGGCGCTACCCAGCGCTGGATACAGGACTCCACACTGTCAATCAGCGGCGGATCCAGGGCTGTAACCAGAGGCGTATTGAAGAGGGCACTGGGTCATCCTCCCCCCCCCTGGGCGCCGAGGGCGTTAGGCACTCTTTGCTATTGGAGGGCAAACGCAGCATGCTTATCGCTCTAATGGTATAGAGTTAGTAACCGACCAGTGTTATGTAAAGGTTACAAACCCCACGGCTCTCTAATGGGCACAGCGATTTGAGGCCCACTAAGATAGAGTTAGAGCGCTAGAATTTAACCCGCGTCCCACTGGGGTCTGTGTATAACACGCCCTACTGGGGGGGGGGGGGCTATTCATAGCCCCCCCTCCTAACTCCGAAACTACTGGGCCGATCGTCAAAATTCAAGCGGCGTCTGATAGCCCCGGAAAAACTGTCGAGCGAAACCTAATTTCATTGACCTCGAGGTCACCGATGACGTCACAGGTCAGGTCAAAGTAAAAATTATTAGCATTTTGGCTTGTTCACATTTTGGGCTCTGGCCGCCGTCTTACAAGTCAGATCATGCTCATTTTTGGTTTCCACACTCGTGAACAGATGCTTTAGATACCTTGAGGGTACCAAACTTGTACTTTGATTTTCAGGTCAGGGTCAGGTCATCACAGGTCACGGAAATATTATATCATGCGTCGGTCACGTGACACATGTTTTATGGTCCGTTTAGGCCATAGATTTCGAATTTGATGTCGTCTGTGTCATTTGAGGTCATTTTGAGTCGAATTTAGCTTAGGTCAGGTCACTTTCAGGTCAAAAAAGGTCAAATTTTGAAGTTAAAATTTTTCAACAAAAAAGGTGTCTATTGGATGCAGTTTGAGCTCAGGAACACGATGGTGCCATTTATATTGGTGTACGATGTCAAATACGTACTGAAAAATTGATTTGAAAAATTAATAATTGTGAATTTTTTGCAATAATGCGTATAACTTGGCCATTTTCGAAGATATTTAGCTAAAACTTGCTATAGTTAGTCATAATCATGCGTTCTGTCACATATATTCCGGTTTTTTTCGAAAAGTCAAAAACTTTTTGAAAAAAAAATACAAAAATATAAATTTTGAATATTATTATATAAAATTTTCAAAATTTTCGAAATTTTGAAAATCCGAGATAGCAGTTTGATAGCGCGGTCAATTCTGAGTCCTTTCATGCAAAGAAATTGGATCTAGCTTAAAAACTGAGCTCTTGGGAGCGATTGCCGTGGTTCAATGTTTTGCGTCGAAATCGGACGAACATGACGTCACTCTGACGTCATTTCCGGCCGACCTATGGTAGCTACGAAGTTCAAATTTTGACACAAGGTGTCAAATTGATGCAGCTAAAGGTACCGAAAGTTTGGCGTCGATCCGTCAAGCGGTTGGAAAGTTATTGCGGAAAAACGGGAGGGGGGGCTATAAATAGCCCCCCCCAGTGGGGCGCGGGTTAAAAACGACACGAAATGATTGTATATGACCTAAAACTACCCATCTTACAGCAAATTTGCCTATAAGCCACGCGATGACCTTCGGTCATTTCAGTTCAGGTCGAAAAAGCAATTGCACAGCAGTTTCTGAACGTAGCATATTGCGATTCAAAGCACAACATTCAATAGCCCTGAGACCTTTTTTCCATTTCGCCCCCCTATTTGGGTCGATACAGACTATTGTGTGCCCTCAATATTGGCAATGAGCCTCCGACCTTTCAAAGTGTCTTCTGATATCGGTGAAGATGAAAGTCAAATAAGAACACGGCACCCAGTGCCCCCCACCTTCCCCACGTCCACTGACTCCAGAGAAGAGTCTCACTTGGTTAGATTATGGTTGGTTGGTTGGATCATGGCTGGATCATATGGTTAGACTTCTGCACCCATGCCCCCAGAGTGCTCCAGCCGTTCCTACGCCCATACGTGCGACGGCGCCCATCAATCTGCGACGGCGCTGTCAAAATAAGCACTCTCAGGTCAGCTTACCAGACTCAGGAAATGGGACGCTGGGCACTGAAGGCGTCCAGTGCGGCTCTGACCGCAGAGTGGAGCACAGCGCGACACATCTAGGTGGTGCCGGTGTGGATTTCCGTAGTGAGTCCAGTGTGACACAACGACAGGAACCCACCGAGGGCCACAGCAAGCAGCAGTGCAGCCCTCGACAGACACCACTGAATTTGGATTATCTGAGCGAAGCGAAGGCATCTTCACCGCACACAAATACCTAGTGCTGCGTTGAGAAAGAAAGCGAAAAACGGCGACACTATGTCCAAGGAGATGGCAGCAGATGAAGAGGTCGTCATTCCAGAAGGATGGGAACCACTGCCACGTGATCCCAATTACACAAGTCCCGGCTACTGCATGTTCAAGAACCGTGGATGGACATGCGATGCATGGAGCATCAAATGGGGAGTCACACAACAATTGGCGCAGTTTCAAGGGAGGCCTTCTGATATCATCGTGGCCAGCTTTCCGAAGTCCGGCACCACTTAGCTGCAAGAAATCGTGTGGCGTGTCACTCACCGCCATGCAAGTGGTGCTGGGAAAGAGCCGGACGTCTGCTTGGAGTATCGGTTTCCTCTGTTAGAAATACCGTCCCAGGAAAAACTCATGGAGATGACTTCACTGCACGATATGTCGGACCAGCGCTTCATCAAGACGCACCTTCACTATCATGTTCTTCCAGACAGCGTGAAGACCAGCGGCGCCAAAGTGCTTTACGTGTACCGCGATGCCCGAGATGTTTGCGTTTCTTTCTACAAATTCGCGAGGCTGCTTAATCTTTTCCAGTACCGCGGAACATTCGCAGACTTCCGCGACAACTTCATGCGCGGCGAAATAGTGTGCGGTCCTTACCGAGAGCACGTGCAGGGCTACCTGGAGCACTCGGACACTGTGCTCTGTCTGTCGTACGAGCAGATGCACCAGGATCGCGGCTCGGTCGTCCGCAAGGTGGCCGATTTTCTGGGAGTCTCCCTGAGCGACGCCGATGTCGACGATATCGTGAAGAACACCAGCTTCGAGGTGATGAAGGCGAACCCGGACACCAACTTCCGTCATTGGGAGAACAGCGGCATGGTGTCTGGCACTGAGGAAGGCACCTTCATGAGGAAGGGGGTGGTGGGCGACTGGAGAAACTACTTCACCGAGGAGGAGAGTGAAGCCTTCCTGAATTGGCGGAATGAGAAGGTCGCCTCTTTGGAGTGAAATTGGAAGCGAAAGTACTCCATTTAATAAAAATACATTGTGTACTTTGTATGGTGTATTGGGTTTTATATAATGTATAATGCGTATTGTGTACATATATCCCTCGCCGGCCGAGGGGGGGGGGGGGTGGTGCCGCCCCCATAGTTTTTTTTCGCGATAACTCCGAACACGCTGGCGATAGAGAGCTGAAACTTGGCATACCTGACCTTTGAATCCAAGCCGGATCTTTTGACACCAACCGTATTTTTGGGTCAGGTCAGGTCACTGACCTATGACGTCATAAGTGAACCTCTGCACGGTCTTCAGATGTCGCAACTTCGCAACGCCGTCACTGCCAGAGGAGATGTCACAGGGAAATGAAACTTGCAGGATCTAGTATCCATTATGAGTCCCACAACTTGTATATCTCGGATTTTTCCTAAAGGTCATATGAGGTCAGGTCATTTTCGTGACCTCACCATTATAAGTCAATGGGGAAAAATGAAAACTGCTATTCTGGCGCCGGGAACGATCTCCAACTATCTCAAGCACACAGAATCATAATTTGATGCACTCCTTGCAAGGTTAGATGCGTCTTTTTTGCAATGTTGACCTTGCGTGACGTCATTTATGACGTCATCAAGGTCATATTAGTTTTTCGTCAATAACTCTTGATCAAATTGAGCTAGCGAGTCGGGAAAGCCACCAATGGACTCAGGAAGACCTGCCGAATCGAATGATATGCAACATGACCTCTTTCGACCAACTTCGTGACCTGGGGGTGCTGACCTGACCTTGACCTGAGGTCAACACCCCAAGTTGACCTGACCCGGACAGAAAGCATATCATTCGACGCGCCTGAGCGAGACAAACACGTTACTGCCAAAATCGGCGCTCTGCGGCCGTTTTTTGCGAAGTTATTCACCAAAAACTGAACCGTACCTTGGGGCACTTGACCTGACCTCAGAGGTCACCGGTTGACCTAGGACCTTAAAATCGGGTACCAATCTCTGCGTCTCGTAACGGCGCACACGCTCGTTTTTTCCATGACGCGCTAGCTCCACCAGGGGCGAAACGGCGAGGGGGGGGGTCGTACCCGCCCCCCCCCCCCTCGGCCGGCGCGTATGTAGAAAACCAATAGGTCCGGCGAGGGACATAGAAGTGTAAATTCCATAACAATTTTCATGTTATCTGTCAATAACCCCTGCCAGCATAATATGACGATGGCAGCCCAGCTGCATCATGACCCTATCAGACATACCGTTTTCCTATCCCGAAGCCCACGTCCTCCCCGGAAATCTGGGGTGCTGCTGTGCGGAGCGCCGCGGAGGAGCAGTCCCAGCGGAGAGCAGTGCCAGCGGAGGATCAGTCCCAGCCATCTCCCAGTGAGGAGCGGTCCTAGCGGCGTCAGCGGCTCCCGGCGGGTCTGTGGAAGCCGTCGCAAGTCACCGGTGTGCAGGCACTGGGTCTGTGCGAAGCCGCCGACCAGGTGCCGGGTCTGTGCCGCCGCCGGTCACTGGAGCAGGCGCCAATGACAAATCAGCCCTTCCAGAGACGCCTTTCACCCGGCGCTAATGGATTCACATGCTAATGCGTGTGTCATTACGGTAAATGAACTTTTCGCCGCATGGCCTCAGCCGAGAGTGTGGTGAATTAGCAATGGCCACTGGGCGGCAGAGAAACTCGTGCTGTGAATGGTCAGCACAGGGTGGTAGCGGGCCCTCAACAAGACCAAACGCCGCTCCCGGGGGTCGTCTATGAATGCTGAGAGCCGGCCAGTCAGCCGCGTCACTGGAGACGAGAGTGAGGAGCTCACCGAGTACCCGGACAGAGATCGAAAGGACAACCTGCTGAAGAGGTGCGGGGTTCTTGGCTCTCTGAGGATACCCATTATTGATACAATGCTACGCTAAAATGATGCAATGTAACGTTTAGACTATGCTAAGTACGGCGTTCGATACCGGTTCATGATCATCATTCGACAGATCTGAGCGTAAAAAAATGACGGCCCAATATCATGGAACGTCTCTAACGTCAGTTGAATTACGGTAGACTACCAGCCAGGAATGTGAAGTTACAAGGCATGTGATCGTAATTAAAAACTGATACGCCTCAGGAAACTTAAACCAAAAGCGGTTGGACAATAGCGCGGAGGGAAGGGAGCTGAAATCCTTCCCACTGAGGGCGGCTCTCGGCCACAGTCGGCCCCAGGGGTGCAGGAACTACTTTCAAGTTGAGCAGAACGGAAAAACGTTTAGAAATTACTATTGAATACGCATTTAAATGTCCGAAATCTGCAACAGCTTACGGAAGGAGTGTTTATAAAGCCCTCGGAGGGAGTGAATACTCCCTCTAAGTTAAATAAGCACCCGCATTCTGATCGGGTCGGTCAGGGAATGCCTGGCCCGCTGCCGGCCTCAGCGCCGTGCAATCCGAAGAGGGAGCGCCACCCCGTGGTAGATGCCATGTGGCGACAACGTGCAGCGGAGTAACAGGGGGTCTATTTTTTCTAACAAATTATGCTGTATACTATTCAAAGGAGGTCATGTGCTCATCAGAGGTATGATGGGAAAGTTTATACAGGCTTCGTTCTCTCGAGTGATGCATGCTTTTCATTGCAATCGTCCCAACGCCTATAGTCAAAATATATTGTGCATATGCTTATGGACCTTTTGTCATCGCTGAACTTTAAAAAAATAAAACTTAAATCATTGGGAAAGAACATCTGGCAAAATGAGTCGTTTGATGCCGTTTTAGCGTTTTATAAGTCAACAAAGGCGTTTTCAGCGGTCTATCTTCGCTGTCTGGGCCAAGGTCTGCTGTGAATGACTAAGGCTTTGTGACCCTTGTTGACCTCTCTAGGTCAACAAAGTTATCAGCCAGCCGTCAGCACAGTTCAATTTTTTTTCGTTTAAAAATGATTCTTCGTAAAAAATGTTCACTCTAGGCACCTCCTGCATTCCTGGAGAGAACCTGCTTGGAAGCTGTTCAGGCAGCGCCCCTTACGATCCCGAAGTTTTGGAGGCGGTTGTCCCTACTTCCCCACGGTTCGCGCGCCTATGGCCGGCCCTCCCACCGGTCACACCGGGTGGCCTGTTTATCACGGCTGCATCGGCTAGTCGGCTGGTCATTCCCGGTCCGCCGGCGGGCCGAGGCCCGTTTTTGTCCGTGATAAGGTAATGGTAGAGTCCGATATGGGCAGCGGATCCACCGAACGCTCCACCGGCCGTCGGATTCTGTCAGAGTTGGAAGATGATCGTCTGGAAAAATGAACGGGCCACACGCCGACATATACGTGACTAGGAATAACGTAGACGAAAATTTACTTTATGCTAGCCAGAACGGTTGAATAAAAAATGCCAGTAACTAGTTGCGAGCCCGAGTGCCAGACTAAGCAGATCTCGTCGCCGCGATGACTCCACAGTCCACATGGGCCCACCAACCTCACACTTTGCCCATTCTCGGTTGAACGGTATAGGTACAGCCCACCGCTAAAGTAATGTGTGGTTTTACCAATCTCAACGGATGGCTTTGACCGACGATTTTTAAATGCGGACTGATCGAAAAGAAGGCGTCAAGATAAAGTTGTAGCTGCAAGGGTGAAGATACATGTAAGCTACATGTAAAGTCTCGTTGCAGTCTGGCTAATCGTTCCTAGGCTTCAGAAGCAGAACATACCCATGACTGAAACCACACATTACTTCTGCTGTGGACTGTACCTATTTATGCATTTAGACCGATAGGCCAAGGTCTGTGATACGTGATCCTGAACTATTTAAAATTTGTGTTTAGTAGGTACTCAAAGAATTTTCTGAAGATATTTAATGACGCAATTTTAAGAAGCTATGTTAATTAAATCGTGTAAGTATTGGTCGATGCTTTTAGTTTTTTTTTTATCCGAGACAAAAGTCTGACCGGCCAAACTCCTTATCGCATCAGGGCTCAGATGGCAGATTAGCTCCATGGCACACATCACAAAAATGACAATATTTAACCCTATTCCTGGCGGGCTCCGCCGGGACAAGAAACTGGCGGGGGGGGCCGATTCGGCCCCCCCCCCCTGAGATCTCGAGAACGAAGCAAGATAGCGACAAGCGGTAAACGGCATCGGATACGCACGGCCAAGATCTACAATTTTTACTGAGGTCATTTTCAGGTCAGGTCAAAGATGACGTCACAGGGGTCGAAAAAGTCAAAATGGCGGCGCTAGATATGGAGAGAGTTTTTCTCGAATAACTTTCGAATTAGTCCAGATAGGAACAAACTAAGGGCATCATCGTGATCCTCTCGTCAATCCGCATCGAATGATATATATATGTTGACCTCGAAAGGTCAAGGTCAAAGGTTGACCTCAGGTCACGTGACCTCGAGGTCATCATGTATATCATTCGATGCGTCTTGACGAGCTGAACACAATGAGACCATCCACGCGTCTGTATCTTGTTCCTGTACGGAGTTATTGGCCAAAAACCTTTGGTGACCTTTGATGACGTCACATGACCTCACAGCTGCCCAACAGCAAAACAGACCTCAAGGTAGTGAAGGTTGATCGTATATGAAGTCATGTATGGTATATGGGGCCATTCCGACCCGTTTTAGTGGTAAAAACAGGGAGTTGATTTTTCCCCCATTGACTTATAATGGGGAGGTCGCGAAACTGACCTGACCTTAGGTCACCGATATCAAAATTCCGAGATAAACAAATTGCACATACTGGTACCCTAACTAAAGCCTGAAGAGAAGAAATTGATCGGTCAAAAACTCTAGCTCTGGCGTGATTACAAACTTTTCTGAGGAAGGGTCACCAAACCGCCTCTGGTGACCTGACCTGAGGTCAGATCAACTCAAAATTTTCAGACATGTTGCGTAGAAGCCTTTTAGGAAAAGTCAGAAAATTTGAACTTCCTAGCTCAACGCGTTTGGGAGTAATAACCAAAAAACCTCAGGGGGGGGGGGGCTCCTGAGGCCCCCCCCCCCCCCCCGCCAGGAATAGGGTTAAATAGTTGACAGCATTGACCCTT